TAATGGAAGATCAGTTTGCTACCTAAAGTCACCAAGTTCAACACAACCTGGCAATCCCAACCAGATCTATGCTTACTGCACACTGATAATTTGCTCCCATTTCACATAGAAATGCTTCTTCTCCAAATCTTGTGCTCTTTAAGTCATTTTTTTACTGCCTGGAAAAAGCGCACAGATTTCTATGTGTCTGTGAACCATTAGTGACATCCAGTGGCTACGAATGCAAATGCTAAAGCTGCATAACCCCTAATGTCAAGGGACACCTAAACTTCTTCCATCTTTTTCTCTAACAGATAGCTATTAGAAAAGGAGAGGTGAAAAAATTGTGTTTCCTGGCTCGTCCACAACATGTTCGTATCATGCATTTGATTAAACCTCACTGAACTTGCAACTTATCATAGAATCATAGAATTGTCTAGGTTGGAAGGGACCTTTAAGATCATCTAGTCCAACCATTAACCTAACACTGCCAAAACCACCGCTAAACCATGTCCCTAAGCACCACATCTAACCATCTTTTAAACACCTCCAGGGATGGCCATTCCACGACTTCCCCAGGCAGCCTGTTCCAAAGTTTGATAACCCCTTCCAGTGAAGAAATTTTTTCTAACATCCATCCTAAACCTCCCCTGGTGTAACTAGAGGCCATTTCCTCTTGTCCTATCACTTGTTACTTGGGAGAAGAGACTGACCCCCACCTCGCTACAACCTCCTTTCAGGTAGCTGTGGAGGGGGATAAGGTCTCCCCTCAGCCTCCTTTTCTCCAGGCTAAACAACCCCAGTTCCCTCAGCTGCTCCTCATAAGACTTGTGCTCCAGACCCCTCACCAGCTTTGATGCCTTCTCTGGACACACTCCAGCACCTCAATGTCTTTCTTGTAGTGAGGGGCCCAAAACTGAACACAGTATTTCAGTTGTGGCCTCATCACTGCCGAGTACAGTGGGACAATCACTTCCCTCGTCCTGCTGGCCACACAATTCTTGATACAGGCCATCTTTCCTTTGTGATCACTGTAAGAAACTATAGAGCTTCCTTAGGAAACCAGGTGGGTGAAACCATGCCATCTCCAAACAAAACACAGATACAGATCACAATGCAAAACAAACAAACAAACCAAAATGTGAAACCACTGAGAAATAGAAACACATAAGAGTTTCACTAGGTAGTCTTCCAGGGAGGTATACGCCTGACAGAGCAAGACAAGCTGAAAAACAATACAGAATGAAAGAAAATCAACAGAAAACCAACAGCAGTGATCTCTTGGACAGTTGTAGTATCATCAAACCACAGAACTAAAGAATGGCTTGGGCCATAAGGGACCTTAAAGATCACCTAGTCCAACCTCCCTGCCATAAGCAGGGACGTCTTTGACTAGATCAGGTTGCTCAGAGTCCTGTCCAACCTGACCTTGAAGACTTCCAATTGTGGGGCATACACAACTGCGCAACCTGTTCCAGTGTCTCACCACCCTCATTGTAAAAACGTTCTTTCTTATATACAATCTAAATCTACCCTCTTTCAGTTTAAAGCCATTGCTCCTTGTCCTGTCACTACAAGAGTCTCTCTCCATCTTTCTTAGGAGCCCCATTTACATATTGAGAGGCTGCAATAAGGTCTCCCCAGACCCTTCTGTTCTCCAGGCTGAAAAACCCCAACTTTCTCAGCCTTTCTTCATCAGAGAGGTGTTCCAGCCCTCTAACCATTTTCACGGCCCTCCTCAGGAATACTGTATCAGGCACGTTTGGATCTCCAAACAAATACATTGTGCTGTTGTTCTAATTTTCTTGTCTTAAAGAAGGTAATCTTTTGTACTTTGTTGTAATAAGAACGTTATCAAAGAAATAAACAATGCCACCACCTGTTTTCTTTCCTGATGGAAATAAGCTGATAGACCCTGAATTTTGGGTAAGAGTCTGCTGAATCAGACACAGGTAGTTATCTCAGTTTCAGTTTTGCTAGTTCTGTGCTGCCTGAGATATCATTGAACTCCAACTAGCCAGCTGAGAATTCAACAATCCAGAAGAAATTTTCAGTTGAACTCAAAATAATTAAGTCCCATTTTGAGAGCTTTCCTCACTGTCATCATGAGCATGTCAGGAGGAGGAGAAGGCGGTAACCCACAGCCTTTTTTTAGTTACTATTTGGGGCACTGAGGTAGGATGTCATAAGTTAAGCATGATGTCATGATTTGTTTGGGCACGGCAACACAAGCATGAGAGAGCTGAAGCTTCCTCCTTCCCTGCCCCCTCCTCCTGCTTCCCTCCCTCCTCATCTCTCTGTACTCAACATATCTTTGATGAAAAGCATTAGTCTGTACTTAACAAATCAGGGAAAGGGGATGATTCTGCAATATTTTAACATGATATATGTTCAAAATGTGTTTCAAGCTGGTCCATTTCCACACTGCAGTTCTACATTTTACATACATTCACTATAGATCTTACAGCACGTATCACAGAATCATAGAATCATAGAACAGCCCAGCTTGGAAGGGACCTCCAAAGATCATCTGGTCCAACCTTTCATGGGAAAGGGAGCCTAGATGAGATTACCTGGCATCCTTTCCAATAACATCTTGAAAACCTCTGGCGATGGGGACTCCACCATGTCTCTGAGGAGGTTGTTACAGTGAATGATTGTTCCTACTGTAAAAAAATTCTTTCTTATGTCAAGATGTATGTTTGTTTATATCATGCATATAAATTATATTTTAATATAATCACAAAACAATGGCATTACTGCATTTTAGTGTTGGCTTCCAAGACCTACCACTTGAGGAATTTGCAAACAACTTCTTTACCTTGTTCATTTAGGACCAAGGCTTTTTAAAGCATGACTGTAGCCTCACTGGCTGCGGTAGGATTATTTACATCTTTGGAGTTAGGCATGTCTTGCGGTGACTGGCAGTTATTACAGAAATCAGCAGCATTCACTCATTGACTTCTATATTCAGGACTGCAACCAGGGACATAAACTCTTCCCCTTTATTCATGTAAGCAATTCCATTCCCTAAAGAAAACAAAATAAAGTCACTCAGTAAGATGTCAACATGAGGAAAACACCCTTTCCTGCCTTGAACTTCTATTTATTAATTGGTGTTCATCGTTTTCAACATTTACTGAAAGCAGCTAACATGGAACTTTTCTTTCACAATTTTGCCAGCCAGACAACCAAGTGATACATTGATGAAGATATAATTTTAGGAAGGCAAGATACTAAAAATAATTAATCAGCACTGGCATGTTAGTCTAATACTATCTACATTTCCTGAAGGTTCTTGGTACCTGGAGTGTCTACGAAAAATTAATACTAGTATATTTGTCCCTGCATGCTGCACACTGTCACACTTTTCTCCTTTATCATAAATTGTACACGATGCCTTCAGCTTTTTAAAATAACAAAACCAGAGAGAAATCTTAAGAATGGGAGGTAAACCTAGCTGCTTTCCTTTCAACTTAACTGATATATACTGGAATGGAAGTATTTCCAAGATAGTGGATTAGTCATTGGCAGCCTTCAGGAAAATGATGATACAATTATACTAAATATCATTTGTCATATCATTACACATCCCTTGAAATGTTCTTTATTTGAGAATGAGATGGGATGCTGGAATCTTTAAAATTCAGCACCCGCATGAGAGCTAAATGTAGCTCTTCTACTCTATGGCACCTACATCATCCCTATTCAGATAATAGCAATACTGAGACAGACTTTTAAATGCTCTCTCTTCGTTCATCTAATGGGTCCATTAATGATATGTTATCCAAAACCTGCAGATTAAATAGTGATTACAGTTTGCACATGCAATTGTTAAGTGTCCTGTCTTCGTGGTTGGGAAAGGATGATGGGAAAAAGAGTTTAACCATGTGTTTTCTAAGCCTGGAAATTTTGGATTGACAGTGATGAGAGTCAGGAAAGGAAAGGGATGAAGGGGCTTGTAGTAGAAATGAACTAAGTAATCCTCGCACAAAGCTAATAGAAGTAAAGAGAGCTTCATATGACTCTCTGGAACAGCTAATTCCCTCAGTGCTTTGCTAGTCTCTTCTGTCTTGGAGAAACTTTACTTTGTGTACCACTGCCCCGGGTGAAGATGGCTGTTCAGGGACAGAGGGTGGAAATAACCCACGAGTCCTAGTTCTGGATTTAGTATTAACTTAATGAAATTGTTATATTACAGTTTCCATTGGAAAATTATTAAATTCCACAAACTTCATATTTTATTTACAATGACATCAATAAACATGAAGAGTGTAAAGAGCTCACCAATAAACAAATTCAAGTGGAAGCATACTTTTCATTTCCTCAAGGAACTTCGTAATAAGAGCTTTGTAAACAAAAACATAAATGGCAACAGTAAGCCTATTTAGAGCAAGATTTGTCTTAGCTAATACAGTAGGTGTAACTCCTTTGTTAAGGACTTAACATTAAAAACTGTTTAGAATTTTAATTTGAAACATCCAGCTCATTAAAGACATCTGAGCAGTGATGTGGCTTTGTTCCTGTACCAGAATGTAGACTTTTCAATATCAGAACATAAGAAAACCTTTTTGATCTGATACTTATAGTCACAGCTATCGCAAGAATGTGCCAGTGTGGTTTTATGTGGAGGGTGTATCTTTTCAGCTGTCTAGCTGACAACACATGACGGCCATAAACCATGACTGCCAACATTTGAGATGTCTGAGAGGGCTGGACACCATGAAATGTCAGTCTTGAAGAGCTTTTCAAGGGGATGGGGTGAAAGCAAGTAGGGGCAATTAGTAATGCAAGGAGCCAGCCAGCACCTGCACGTGCCCACCATGGTCATCACTGAACTGCTTGGCTCTTCATGCTTCCAATAACTTAGGGAATTCCTAATGAAGTCACATGCCAGCTGTGAATCACTGGCACTGATCACTGCTGGTTACAGGCCAGCTGGGCTCTGCGGAGGCGCTGCCAGAGTAAGGTGGAGATGTACGCTTTGGCCCTGCCAAAACCCTAGCTGCCCACGACTTCTGATGATCTCCAGCTCCGTGTACCACCCCAGCACCAGTGGACCAACATCCATCACGCCTGGGGAGTCTTCTCCACCCTTGTCAGTGGAGCAACCGGCAGAGCTACAGCGGATGCGCCCTTACAACTGTTTGGTAAGGCGCTGGGCTTGCTCCTCGTTTGAGCTCACTATGACAAAATTAAATCCATAAAACTTACGTGTGAGGAATGAGATCGTTTGCTGTCTTCCATCCTGAGGCGGCAAATAGAAACGCAAGTGACAGCAGGGAGGCTTTTTAGAGCTAAATTTGTCTTCACTAAGCCATAAGTGACCTTGAACAAAAGATGTTGAAGGAAGCAAGACCCTAACAGAAGAAAAAGGAAAGCAGAAGGATGGAGAAGGTACATCATGCTCTGACTTAATTCCTGTTACTCAGGACCATGTGTGGGCACAAACTGCAATAAATGTAAAAATAAGAAAAAGCTTTTTCTGCTGTTCAGAGTGGTCAGACGCTGTCACAGCTTGCCTAGAGACGCTGTGGGGCCTCCACCCCTGGTGATACCCAAACCCTGTGGCAACGTGGCCCTGCGCCACCGGCTCTGGGTGACCCTGCTTGGGGCCGGGGGGATGGGGGGACACCACCGTACCATCCCCTGGAGCCCCTTCCCACCTCCACAGCCCTGGGTCTCCGTGGCTTCTGCCATGGCCCTGACGGCTGGCCCTCGCTGCTTTACATGATGAGGTCAGCGTTAAGTGCTGGGGGTGCGGCTGTGGGGCACCGGGCACCCACCGCAGCAGCACA